AAAATGCTTGGGGGGGGGGGAGGCTGAAATGCTGATTGGCTCTGTGAGATAAAATCTCTGCCTGAGACCCTAGAGAGCTACTACCAGGTCAAAGCAGGCAAGAAGAACCCTATTTAAACCTATTGTCTGGCTCAGGTCAAGGCAATGTCTTATTTTTCACTGGTAGTTTAGGATACTGATGTTTACAACTCCAGCATAGGTGGGAATGCAATATAATCAGGGCTATCCAAAATTCTGAATGTGTACACACAAATTCTGTCAGATTTTTATGTCTGGAAATACTAGGCTGTTTTTTTATTCTTTATTTGTGTGTGTGTGTATACATGCAATCACACTGTGTTTTAATTTTTCAGTCCACCTAGAGTCTCAGCAAGTGAGGCGGACTGTAAGCAAAATAAATAAGTAAAAAAACCCAGCCTACCAGGATTGTTATCTCTGACTAAAATCTTGCATGGATGCAAACTGTGGTTAACGCAGAGCATAGCCCCTCTAGAAACTGATGAAACTGTGGTTTGAAGGTGAGGGTCTGCAAACCTGGCTTGCATTCATAGTGGTTTGCATCATGGTTAACGTGCAGACTGTGGAACTGTGGCTAACTCAGGAAAGGGAAGAGAGGTGAGCCTCAAGATACGTCTCAATCAATGGGCCATTAAAAGACCAGTGCTGGGCCTTTGGTGAGGAAATACCTCTTGCTGAAAAGAGCTAGTTGTTAACAGATGTGCAAGCTTTTGATTTTTGCTAAACTCCTCATCCAGGGGTTCATAAATTTAATACAGCTCTAAGCCAAAACAATGCGTGTGGATTTTTTCTCTCCCTTTCTCAGTCTACTACCGTTGCAAAGCTTGCTGTGACAACCCAAAGGATTTGGTAGCTTTAGGCGGGAATTCATTCATATTCTATTACTGTTCTTGGGCTTTCCGTTCTGTAACTTGAGGAATAACAAGAAGCAACCCCGTTACGGGGCCTGCACCTTATGGTTGAAAAGAGAAATTAAACATGCACATCTTTAAGCTACTGTTTGGCTGATAAAGGAGATCATTTTGGTTTTGAGGGGGGGGGTAAAGCAGGAGGTGAAGCCCAAAAATTGTACTTTTGTGAGGAGCAAAAATTGCTCTGTCAGTGATGACTTCATTGGACAGATGTAAGCTCTCTGTTTCAGAGAGAATATCCATCTGCAGTTCACCCTAAAATCAAGAACCCAGCCCCCGGGAACCTGGCCGTTAAGTTCCAGTTCAAGTTTAGTTCATAAATTAAGTAACTAAGCATATCTGATTTCTGAACTTTTACTGTTTCAGGATATCTCAACAATTCTCTCCCTCAAGCCCTGGGACTGTAGAATCTAGGATTGCCAGACCCCCGGTGGAGGTGGGGGTCCCCGGCTGCCAATCAGCTGGCCTGTGGGGGGGACGTAACAGAAAAAAGGAGAAGGCCTGGGCCTCATAGCCAGCATCACACAGGAACTGACATCATTGTAATAATGATGTACAGGTGATGCTGTGGTATCTGAGCAAAAACTTATGGTAGAAGCTGGGTTTACCATAGAGTTTTTGCCTACATACCAGAGCATCACCCTAACGTCACTGGCATAATGATGTCACTTCCTGTACAGTGCTGGCGACAAGGCCTAGGCCTTTCTCTTTCTTCTCACATGTGCTCCCCATCCCTGACTGGTCACCAGGAGTGACCTGGCAACCCTAGTAGAATCTTTGGCTCCTGCTCCTGAGTCAGGTTTGCCCACATGATGTTAGGTGTGCTTTCTTTCCCAGCTGTTTTCCCTTGGCATTATGGATTTCTATAGCTTCACATTTTGGTGTGTTTTAAACTGCTCCTGTGTCTTACTAGGAATCTTTGCTGTTAGAGTCAAATTAGGAATGGTTCTTCTGCTTGGCCTCTCAGTCTTGTATAATAAGCCATACGGTGCAGGGCTGAATTTAACAGATTGTATCCACCGTATTGCTTTGACCTGGATAGCCCAGACAAGCCCTATCTCATCAGATCTCAGAAGCTAAGAAGCCAGGTCTGTCCTTGCTAGTATTTGGATGGGAGACCACCAAAGAAATCCAGGGTTGGGATGCGGAGACAGGCAATGACAAACCACCTCTCTGAACATCTCTTGCCTTGGAAACCCTAAGAGGGTCACCATAAGTCAGCTGTGACTTGATTTGGGGGGGGATCTGTCATATCAAAGTGAGCCCGTCCAAACTGCTTATCTTTTTATGCTGGTTGATAAACCAGCTACTGGTGGTTGATCGCAGCAGCTGCTTTCTTCCCCTGAACGATCTGCAGAAATACAGGAAGCTGCCTGTCTCCAGAACTGGTGATGGGAACTAGAGATGCGAGTCCAGCCAAAAAACTGCTAAGGTTCAACACAGTATGTATGCATGCACAGACGCAGCACCATATTATGGTTTTGCCTTGAGTCTACCAAGTCGCAGTGGCATGGAAAGGGGCCATGGCTCAATGGTGGAGCATCTGCTTTGCATGCTAAAGGTCCCAGGTTCGATCCCTGGCATCTCCAGTTAAAAGCATGGAACAGATGATAATGTGACAAGACCTTGACCTGAGACCCTGGAGAGCTGCTGCCAGTCAGAGCACATGACACTGACCTTGACAGGCCATGGGTCTGGTTCAGTAGAAGGCACCCTCATGTATTTGCAGTGCGAGAAGAAGACAGGAGATGATTGCTGACTTCATGGCAAGCAGGCTGAATTCAGTCTTGTGTAGGCCGTTTTTTACCCTTAGACTCTGTGTGCTCCACTGATATGTGTTACATTCCTCAAGCAAGGGTGTGTTCTTAGGACCTCTGAAAGCAAACGAATCTATTTAATTAATTAATTAATTAGTTTGTTCGATTTATATCCCACCCTTCCAGCAAGTGGGCTCAGTAAAGTTTACAAATCATTAACATCATTAAAACCATTCTAACAGTAATTCACTTAAATCCATTTTTAAAAGATGGCAAGTTGTATATCAGTCTGTAAGGTTCCAGCAGTGCCGAATAGAGTCCCAGCAAGAAGAGTAGAGCAAGAGTACCAGCAGAAGCCACAATACCATCTCGCTTACATGGGCAGGTGTAATAGGGCAGTTTCAGCAAGGGAGGCCAGATGATTGGGTGCCTGCCACCTCAACCAAAGGCCTGGTGGAACAGCTCCATTTTACAGGCCCTGCAGAACTGTAATAGGTCCCGCAGGGCCCTGATCTCAAGTGGGAGCATGGTCCACCAGGCAGGGTCCAGGGCAGGAAGGGCCTTGGCCATGGCCGGGGCTAAGCAGACGTCCTTTGGGCTGGGGACAACCAGCAAATGTTGATCAGCTGAGTGCAGGGCTCTCTGGGGGAAATATGGGGAGAGACGGTCCCTTAGACATGCCGGTTCCAGGCCGCACAGGGCTTTAAAGGTTAGTACCATCACCTTGAAACGGATCTAGTACTCAATTGGTAGCCAGTGCAATTGGCGTAGCACCGGCTGAATGCATGACCGCACAGGTGTCACAGTCAGCAGGCGCACCGCTGCATTTTGCACTAGCTGGAGTTTCCGGATCAGATTCAAGGGTAAGCCCACATAGAGCGAGTTACAGTTATGTAACCTGGAAGTGTTACTGTAGCCAAGTCCTGGGAGGAGAGATAAGGAACCGGTTGCCTGATCTGCCGAAATTGGTAAAAGGCAGACCTGGCAACAGCGGTGATCACCCCTAGACTCCCTACCCTCAGCGCCAGGTCAGGAGCCTGATTCCCGAATCTGCCCCCCCCAACACCAGTGTTCTCTCTAAGCTGTGGAGTCTTGTGAGCAAAAATTCTACTTTGTGAGCGACTGACATTAAAGTTGTGAGCAAGCGATTTGCCTGCTGCATAAATTAGCTTGCTCTGGAGCCATGTTTCTTGAGCTAAGACAAAAATGTGTGAGCCAGAGGCTAAAAAACCTCTATCTTTGTTGGATGAAGTTTCAACCTGCTCTACTGTAGCCATCCAGCCATGGCCCCCAACACCCTGTCCCGATAATCTGGACGTGGAGCCCAAATGGCCATCCATCAGCAGATAGAGCTGGGATTCATCAGAATAATGGTGACAACCCAGCCTGAACCTCCGAGCGAACTGGGCGAGGGGGCGCATGTAGATGTCGAACAGCATTGGCGAGAGGATTGCCCCCTGCAGCACTCCACATTCTAGTGGGTATTGGAGGGATACTGTCTCACCAAGGACCACCCTCTGTCCCCAACCATGGATAAAGGGGGAAAACCATTGTAAGGCAGTCCTCCTTATTCCTACGTTGACGAGGCAGTGTGTCATTAGATTGTAGTTGACAATGTTGAATGCTGCCATTAGATCAAAAAGCAACAGCAGTGCCAACCCACCCCAATCCAGGTGTCTCCAGAGGCCATCTGTGAGGGCGACTAGCGCTGTCTCCATCCCGTGTCCATTACAGTGATCCCCTGACTTAACAGCGCAAGTGCCCGCAAGTGCCAACCCACCCTAATCCAGGTGTCTCCAGAAGCCATCTGTGAGGGCAACTAGCGCTGTCTCCATCCCGTGTCCATTACAGTGATCCCCTGACTTAACAGTACAAGTGCCCTGTCCGAGTCCAGTATTCTTTGTTGGGCTACCAGCACTTAGCAATCTGCCCAGAGTTGGCCACTGAACTGTTCTTGACCTTCAGAACCATAGATCCTCCCTCTCCTCCTTCCCAAGTGCACCACACGCCTCTGCTATGTCTATCCTGTTTGTGTTGTGCCCGTCACAGCTGGGTCACTCTTAACAGCTTTGCAGATACTTTTCAGCCCATCTTACTTAGGCTAAATCGATGCCAGCCAAGTACATCTTTTCATAATATAGCTTTGCTTTGCTGCTGTCCCATAATAGCACCTTGCTTTTTTTGGAAGGGACCTGATTTGCTGTAGGTTTGCCAATTAGGAGGCCCAGCTAGTCTTTGTGCCGCCTGCTTAGACATGACTGAGCTGTAGGGAGAATTTCTCACCTGATTTTTTTTCTCTTCCTCCCTTTTGAAGCCGCGTGATTAAGACAGACATGGAGTTGGAAATCCTCCGCTACACCAATAAAATTTCCAGTGAAGCTCATAAAGAGGTAATGGATCTTTTTGCAGATAATATTTTTTTTTGCTCTTTGTGTAACAGTAGGTTTTCAGAGAATGTTCCTGGCCACCTGAATTGCTTAGTAATAGAGTAATGGAAGAGCTGGGTAGAATTAGGAGGATAATGTCCCTCCTAAATGGAACTCGATAATATACCTTGCATTGCCCTTGAACTTGATGTGTCGGGTGCAGAGTTATGAGAGCAGACCTCTCAGTGGTAGAGCATCTGCTTGGCATGCAGAAGGTCTCAGGTTCAATCCCTGGTATCTCCACTTAAAGGGACTTGAAGGGACCAGGTGGCAGGTGATATCAAAGACCTGTAGTTGAAACCCTGGAGGGTCACTGCCAGTCTGAGTAGATGGTAAAGACTATGAGGGACAGACTGATGGTTTGATTCAGTGCAAGGTGGCTGCATGTGCCTTCCTTTACAAGGTGGTGCTTACTCAGCCCCATGCAAGTGGATTCCTCTGTGCGCAGGATTCTCTGCTCACTTGGACAGGACTTCTTTGCCCCTTTGTGGATGCTACTGGGATGTGAGTTTTCCTCCTCTTCTCCACAACATCCCAGTGTTTTCATGCACCTCTGGGTGTTCCCTGCCTTTCCGGTGATCTTAAGAGCCAGTTTGGTGTAGTGATTAAGTGCGTGGACTCTAATCTGGAAGAACCGGGTTTGATTCCCCACTCCTCCACTTGCACCTGGCTGGATGACCTTGGGCAAGCCATAGTTCTGTCAGAGCTGTTCTTGAAAAAGAGCTCTCTCAGCCCCACCTACCTCACAGGGTGTCTGTGGTGGAGAGGGGAAGGGAAAGGAGTTGGTAAGCCGCTCTGAGACACCTTTGGGTAGTGAAGGGCGGGGTATAAATCCAATCTCTTCTTCTTCTTCTTAACCAAACCTATGTTGCTGTGATGTTTTTGGAAAGATCGCAGCAAAGCCAGGGTGGCACCCGTGTGAAAGAGAAAATTCAGATCTTCCCAATCATGCCATTATGAAAGAGAAAATTCAGATCTTCCCAATCCTGCCATTTGTAGTGCCATTTCCTTTGCCTCAGTCCCCTGCGGTGGCAGCCATTCCCCCGCCACTGTTTTCTTTCTTCATTTACATATTGCAATATCATTTTCTCTGAATTGACAGCGTTCATTTAATTTTTAAAAAGTCTCTAGCCCCATTTGTTGTGCAGATATGTTTTCCCACTTATATCTCTGCAGTGAAAAGAGCCTAGGGACTGACTTACTTTCCCCCCTGAATGAAAACTGGGAATTCAGAGAACCTGATAGACAGATTGGGTTAATGCTGTGATGATACAGTTAGTGAACTCGAGGCCCCTTGCACGTCTGCGTCGGGCTTAGAGGGCTTTGACCGACTCAGCCTGGAGGAAGCTGATAGATTGTTCGTATCTGTGCGCCCAACCACCTGCGGCCTTGATCCGTGCCCCTCGTGGCTCATTAAAGTGGGCCATGAGGGGTTTCGAGGTGCCTTGAGGGAGATTGTCAAGTCCCTCGTGGAAGGGCGGTTCCCCGAGGCACTCAAGGAAGCATTGGTCCGCCCTCTCTTGAAAAAGCCAACTCTGGACCCGGCTGAATTGGCCAGCTATTGGCCGGTGTCCAACTTGCCCTATTTGGGCAAGTTGATCGAGAGGGCGTTGGCGACTCAGTTACAGAGCTTTCTAGATGACACTTCCATCGTCGATCCATTCCAGTCTGGCTTTCGCCCGGGGCATGGGACGGAGACTGTGCTGGTTGCCCTGACTGACGACCTCCGTAGACACCTGGATCAAGGCGGTGTGGCGGCGCTGTTGTTGTTAGACCTGTCAGCCGCATTTGATACGGTCGACCACCAGCTACTGATCCACCGCTTTGCCGACACTGGGATTCAGGGGCTTGCCTTGCAATGGCTTTGTTTCCTTTGTCTAATGTCGGGGCACAAGGTGTGATAGACAGATTGGGTTAATGCTGTGATGATATATCAATTTTTGGTTGCGGCTTTTGGTTGAGGGCAGCAATGGCTGGTTGCACTGGCTGGCACCCATTCCCTCTCCCACCTGTACCTTTTGTTTAAGTATCCCTCTCCCCCTCCCACCAAATGGCTGGGCAGTCCAGAATGGGAACAGAAAATTGTAAGTTGCCATCTTGGATCTTTTATTCTGGTTTTAACTCTTATTAACTGTATATGGATATTTTTAAAATTTGTATCTTGTTTTATGGCATTTTGCCTTTTTGTACGTCGCCCAGAGCCCAGCGTAAGCCGGGATAGGGTGATTAATAAATCAAATAAATAATAATAATTGCTGATTTTAAAATAATTTGAAAAAGGCCAGAGAGTCTGGGGAGCAGAATGTTAATTGTGTGTTGTGGGAAGGGGGGAGGGGCCTTGCTAAACCTTCCGTGGCCAACCGCATGAAGTAAGATGAGCCTTGGCAGCCTGGCTCCACATGGTGTTCCTGGAGTCTGTCTCCATGGAAGCAGAATTTTGGGGGCTTTTTGGACTGGAGGGGTAGATGGTAGTGGAAACTGCTGTCAAGTTGCAGCCAACTTACGGCAACCCCATAGGGCAGGGGTGTCAGCACATGGCCCGTGAGCTAGAACTGGCCTGTCCAGAACTCTTTTCTAGCCCGTGAGCAACCGGTCATTCCCTTTACTGCCAGATGACAAGAGGCTGTGCATTATGTCCCTGTATCCTGTCCCAGTGCTACTGTGCAACAGGTGGTGAAAGTGGGAGAGCAGACATCAGTGTGTTAATGTTTTAAGCATGTTTGTATTTTGAGCAAAAAATATGGTTAATTGGATTGGCCTGTGTCCTTTATAAAGTTTATATATCTCCCGTACATGGCATTACATTTTATGGCATGCGTGGCCCAGCCCAACAAAGTGACATTTATGTCAGATCCAGCCCTTGCAACAAATGAGTTTGACATCTTTGCCGTAGGGTTTTCAAGGCAAGAGATGTTCAAAGGTGGTTTTGCCATTGCCTGCCTCTGCCTAGTGACCTTGGGCTTCCTTGGTGGTCTCCCATCCAAGTACAAACTGGGGTCGACCCTGCTTAGCTTCCAAGATTTAACAAGATCAGGCTAGCCTGGGCTATCTGGGACAGGTTGGTAGAAGTGTGAAAATCATGCTCTGCTTCTGGCAGTGCTTCAGTCAGTGCTCATTTTTGGTAGGGCCCAAGCCTACATCTGCACTCTTCACCAAATCTTGTGAATGTGCACAAGGTCCAGCCTTTTTATGTGCAGTCTGCATACCCAACTGCAGGATTGCCCCCAAATGACCACAATATATGAGTTCTTCCGGTTAGCCCCTTTGCCACATAAGTAGGTTTGTTAGGGTATGTCTTGTGTTTTTGCCAATAGGTAATGAGAGCTGTAAACGCGGGAATGAAGGAATACGAACTGGAGAGGTGAGTTCCCTTTTGATCCTAGTGACCAAGTTATGGGGAAGTCTGTCTTTGTTAGCGGGAGACGCAACAGATGAAGCTCAAATGATGCTGATTTAATGGCAATTACATGAGCTCATTTCGAGGTGGTGCTGGAAATATTATTTTATTACACAGACGGCATTTCATCAGTTTCCTTCATGTTATTAGACGGCGCTTGATTGCTTTTAGATATGGTTTAAAGCAGCATAATTCTCTTTGCTGACTTTTTATGTAATTTACAGAAACTATACCTAATAGCCGTTATTATTGCTTGATGGCTTCCAATAAAGCCGGCTTTTATGGATGTGAATAACACGGTCGTGCCTGGTACGAACACAAGTATTTATGGAGGGCCATAAAATGTCCTGGAGTGCTCGCCGAGATTTCTGCTGCAGCCGGAACAAATATTGCCGGCTTTTTGTTTATGCATTTCGATTCATGTTTGCTGTGTCAGTTTCCTTAATGAGAGTATGGTTCTTCATTGTCCTGCCCTTGTCAGTGCTGCATTGCCTCTTAGTGGACGTCTGCAGGGGTGTGTGGAATGGTGCAAGTTTGGCCTGAGTTCACCAGGACAGGCGTGGCACTCCCATGGGGGAGGGATAGAAAGCAAAGATGCTTGCCAAAGATGCGGGAAGCTGCAGAAGTGAACCCACGCTGAACTTGTACCAGGATAGGGTTTGAACAACTGTGGGCCCAGCGACAGAGAGTGCAGCAGCAGCCTGATTAGGAAGGCAAAGGCATTCTTGTTAATTATTAAGTATACGAGGAATATTGGTGAGCCAACTGTTTGATAAACAAGGAGTGGCGGGGGGAGGACAGGTGGAAACAAGTATCAGCATGTCAATTTCTATGCTTAAACAATAGCTTGAGCTGATAAAAGGAATTTTAAAATCCAGTGCCCAGTGAGGCCGAATTCTAAGAGATGTGTGCCATCTGCAGCCTGAGCTGATCTGCATAACTGCTTCTGTTTTGCGGCTGCCGATTCTGCACTTTTTGCTATTTTGCATAGTTTCTTGGTGGGGTGGGGTGGGGGGGCGTGGCAAGGAACTGCACAGGCCGAGGGGGAGGTTCATTCCTAACAAACGGAAAGGCTTTGTCTCTTTGTTCACTTCTGAAACACCAGCAGGTACATTGCTGACATGCTTTCAAACCGGTCCTTATAGGCACCAGGGCTTAGACACTCAGGTGCATTAAACATAGTCCCCGCGTTTTATTCTCCTGTGAAGTAATTCTGAGGAGTATGAAGACATTTGCACCCAATAAGATCAATTTTAATCCCAGGACTCCTTTTAAAGCAATTTTTTATTTTTTAATTATACAGAACAGTTCTTCCTGCTTTTCTGTGTAGAGTGATAAGTTGTACAAGGATAGCAGGGTACTGGTGCAGAAAAGGGGAATTTGGATAGGTACAGTTTATTGTGCTGTGATGAGAGAAATGACATCTGGGCCACTGCCCTCCTTTCTAAATGGCCCAAACTCTCTCTCTTTCAAGAAAAAAAAGTAACCGCAGCAATGCCCCTGCCTGTAACCCACCTTAGGTCAGGGTACAATTTATGTGTAGAGACCCACTAACTGAAGACCATCACAGATTTTATACCGAAGTCACAGTAAAGGAAGACATAGAGCATTGTGTAGCTTTCAATACAAGAGAGGTCTGACTTGCAACAGAATGAAAGACTAAAAGACCTTGAAGAGCTCCTCAGCTTGTGCTGCAGGCCAGATTTATTACCACCAACAATTAATTTATTTACGTCATTTATACCCCAGTGGAAACCCAAAGTGGCTTAGTTCGGTCTCCTGTCGTCCATTTGACCCTCACAACAGCCCTGCAAGGCAAGTTAGGCTGAGCATAGAGGACTGGCCCAAGGCCACCCAGCAAGCTTCCGTGGCAGAGCAAGGATTTGAACCTGGGTCTCCAAGATCCTTAGTCCGACACTCTAACAACTACCCTGCAATTTGCATCCTGATATAATTCTGCAGGGGGGAAAGTGCCAGAAGTTTCTTGTATCGTATTTCTATTTCTCTCTCCCCCTCTTATTTTCCTAAAGTTGCATGGATTAATGATAAATCCTTAATTTGATTATTTACAGAGTAGTGTGAAGACGGCATCACCTTTTCTCGGAAGTTAAATTTGCCGTGCATTTGGGTGTTTTTTTGTCATTAGGTGGTGTCTATTCTGATCTCGCTTATCTCATTAAAAAAAAACATGGCGTTTTTTAATGAGGTAATTAACACTTGGTTCATAATTTTTTTTGTCAAGTGGCATTTGGATAGAGATTGGGATCCCATTATAACGAATTTCAGTGTCTCAGAGGGAAGTACTTACTTGACATGCTTTCAGCCGTATCAGACAAAACAGGGCATAACCGAAGCTTTCCAGCCCTCATTTTCAGCCCAGAGAACAGGGTGGGGGAGGGAAATCGGAGCTCTGTAGAGATGAAGATCAGTGAATGGGCCTCAACCCCCTACCACCCGTGGATGAAACCAAAATGCAGGGGTTTTTTGGGTGGGTGGGTGGTATTAGCATATATCCTGCATTATGAACAATTTTTTGAAGCTAATCCTTGTTCTCTCCAATCTTGCAGTGAAATATACCATGATGCTATTTTTCAGCACTTTTTCTTAAGAGTTTGAGGGGTTTGGAAGGTAACATGAATATGCAAGGTGTTTCCTCCTTCCTTCCCTCTGGGTGGGATTGGAGAATATCTTGTGAAATACCGTGGAGGTGATTACAGAATGAACCTTTCTGAATCGCACCGGTTTACAGTGTTGGATTTTAGCTGTCAAGCTTGTCTTTTGCGGCTTTGCCAGGACACAAGGGCCTCCTAATGAAGAGTGCATTTACAGAGCCCTCCTCTGACAGTGGCCCAACTCTCTCCTACCCACTTCTGCATCAGCACTCCCAAGCTTCTCTTCCTTCTCTCTCCCACTACCAGATCTCCTTCCAGGTGCGCATAGGGCCGAGCGGGGCCTAGCATTGCCCCCTGCCTCCCTTATGGCACCAGTATTTGTTATGACTGGGAAGGTGTGGAAGTGGAGGGGACCCCTCTTCTTTGTCGGCTGACCCAGCCCCTGCCAAAGCAAAATAAAAAATAAAAAATTGAGGCCCCAGTCACACGGAGCATTAGCCACGCTAGAGAGACGGAAGATAGGCGGATTTTCTGGGCGCAATCTCACCGCCACATCTGGGAAGCGTAGAGCTCCCGTGGCTCAACCAAGGCTTCCTGCCAAAGATGTGCAGCAAAAAACTAGTTCCTCGGAGGTACTAGTTTCCGGAAACCACGGGGCAAGGGCGGGCGTCTGATCGCGTTTCCAGTGGCATCCGACCCCCGCCCATGCCCCATTGCGAAAAGGTTCCCCCCCCCCGAAGTCTCCAGGGATGCGCACAAGCACCCAACGGGGCATGCACATACTTCAGGTTAAAACAAAACAAAACACAACCCCGTTTGCCGTGCCGCGCCGCTTCTTTGGCGCGTCGTGTGATCAGCACCTCCCCCCTAACCACGGGACCGCGAGGGGACGCCTGATTGCGCAGTCGCACGTTATTTCGCTGCAGGACAAACAGCCACGCCTCCCTCCCCCCACGATATCCGGCCCATGTGACCGGGGCCTGAGAGATGCAAATCCAGCTGCTTGGTGAAAATTGGGAAGCAAAGTGTTGAAAGTGTCTGGCCGCCACTCCCAATGTCATCTTTGAGAAGGATGGGAAGGTATTTCTAGTGCTAATTTGCATAGGGGAAATATATGTATTGTTGGTAAGATGGCTAGAAGTGGCCTGTGAGACAGAAGTTTTTTTTTTAATATATCTTTCGTGGCAAGGGAGAACATCGCAGATCTCGATGCAGCCTCCCTTATTCCCAGTGAAGTGAAGTTCTGGCTTGGAAAGGGGAGAATCTTTCTACCTCTCTTTAGACTGCCTCTTGCCTTCTGTTTTGCTGATATGCTCAGAATGAGACACCGTCCCCCCCCACCACCCCAAAACAAACCTTGCTGGGAACATTTGAGTGTATGGGCCCCCTTTTGCTTCTACAATTAACAGCCATTTTCATTATTCTCTGTCTATTTGTAAAGCTTGATGGTCTATCCCATGCATTCTGTACTTTTTTTTTTTAACCAAAGTAACTTTATTTAACTTGATTCTATGCCTCTTTTCTCCCCAATGGGGGACCCAAAGCAGTTTATATTTCCTTTCCTGCACTGTACCCTCACAACAACCCTGGTTGGTTAGGGTGAGAGTGTGTGAATTGTCTAATGTCATCCAGAGAGCTTCCAGGGCAGGGTGAGGGATTTGAGCCCTTGACATCCCCCAATCCTAGTCTGACACTGTAACCACGACACTGCACTGGCACTGATTTATTTGGTCATGGCAAATGTAAGCAATTATGGCTTTTCTTGCTGCTTTGGTTAGGATGAAAGGATAGGGTGGTCAGAGAGGATCTCGATCCAGCTCTGTCGAGGGTAAGGCTGGGTGACTCTTAGGGGTGATCTCTGTCTTCAAGAGACAACAGATCCCTTCTGCTCCATAGAGCAGCTGCTCCTGTTGCAGGGTCTTTGAAAACTAGGGTCAGGAATGGCCCGAAAATATTCCATACAGTTAAACTGCCCTAAATAATACCAAATCAATAATACAACTGAGTGGAGAAATACTGTAACTGTGAGCATGCTCCTCTCTTCCTCCTTTATTACGCGGTTTCTATTCAGCTTTAATGAAAGGTTGGTTTGACTTCTAGGAGTTGGCTGAGTTGTCTGTAAAAGGGCTACTGGAACATGAGGCCATAGCTCCAGTCTGGGGAGACTCCTGTATGTCATTTGGTTACCCGCACATTGCTGGGTTTGGGGCTCTTCCTTATCAAGCGGTTGGCTCTGTCTAGCTTTGAGAAGGGCTGATCAACAGTTTGGTGGACAGGTGAGCGGGGTTGGTATCCCGGAATCTGTCAAAGCTAAGAGTACCAGTCCCCTTCTGCCGTTTGCCTCTTCACTCT